TCATGTTGTGCGGGGTCGAGAAACCTCACTTCGCGCAACGGGGGATGATCGCACCACGTTGTGTTAAAATGGTCAAGCTTCCTCGAGGCAGTTACACAGTGCTTACAACTGTCTCTGGAAGTGAAAGCACCAGAAAATAAATTAAGTCATACGTAGCTGTCATCCGTACGCAAGGAAGTAAGCACAAGATGCCGAACACCCTTAGCAGGATGCAGCTCACCCTTCATGCGACTCGCCAAATACCTCACGGCGCTTCGCGCTTGGTGATGTGAGAGCCTGGTCCGGTGAGAACCCGGCGTGCTCCGTCCCGGCTTTGTAGGGATGCGAGGTCAATGGTCAAACGACTACGGCATGCACGACTATGAGTACACCCCCCCCCCCCCCGGCCGCGGTCGCCCCCGCGAACCGTTCCGCGAACCGTTCCGCGAACAGGTGGAGATGTACAAGGACCACGTGACCTTCGTGCACTTGTACGGGCCAGAGCCGCACCCGACCACACCGGACACCAACTTCGACCACGGTGTGGTGGTGAACAGCTACTGGAGCACGGTGCATCAGCCCGGGTCCTACGAACAGCGGTTGGCCATGGTGGACAGGGTCAAGGACCTGATGCACCCGGAACAGGTGTGTGTTCTGTGTGTGTGTGCCGTGTGTGTTGTGTCTTTGTTCGTTGGTATCGACCGCCGCGCTATTAATGGTCGTCTGACCAATGAAACGACGGCTGTGCCAATGGGTGAAACCAAGGGTCCCTGGAAGTGTGCGTACCTGTTGGCTCGCACACGTGCTCGGGAAGGGATGGGTCTAAATGTGCCTAGGAATAGGCGATAAAACCCACTTCTTGCTCCAAGAGCAACAACGGCCGAGCCATCAGCAATTCCTATCCGAGACGATTTTTCTGGCATACCATGTGACCCTACAACCCTACGCGTACCCCGTTCGCCTCGACACGCCCCCCCCCCCCCCCCCCCCTGTATGCCCCAGGGGCTAATTTCCGAATAAATGGCGGGGAAACCCCACAGGGGGGGCTACCCAAAAAAATTTCTTGTGGCCCGGTTTTTGGGGGTTGGCTTGGGAAGGAAGCCTTTCCCCCGTTTTTTTTTTTTTTGGTTTGGGCCCCCCCCCCGGGTTTGGCAAAAAGGGGCCCCCCCCAATTTTTTTCCTTTTTTGGGATCTCCCCCCCCGGGGCCCGGGGGGGCCCTTTTTTTTTTTACAAAAATTTTTAAAAG